GTTCATTCACCCATTTTATTAGTGATGTTTTTAGTTAGCTTCCTTGAACAGGGGAAGTGTCTTCAAGTGATTTCTGTTTATCCTGAGAACAATAAAATGCATGCTAATCTTATTGTCTGAGTCCAGAAAGCATCACCTTTGGAAAACTTTAGGAAGACAATTTTACGCATGTTGTTTGGGCAAATGAGAAGAGTGGTTTTGTATGCTCAAGCTTGGGAGTAAGGGCAATTGCCCTGACAACACTTTCTGTTCCTTCTGCTGTTGTCAACTTCAGTGCTGGGGTGGCAGGCTTCCTGGTATCACCACCCCTGCACAGTGTACTGAAGAAGACCTCAGAGGGGGCTGAAGAGATGGCGCAGTTAGCAAAGTGCTTATGGACGTGAGGAAAAAGCAAAGAGATGTGTGGTGTCCTGTGCTTGTAATACCTAGTGCTAGGAGGCAGAGACACATGGTCCCCTGGACTCACTGGCCAACCAGTGTAGCCCACATGGCTATTTCCTGGTTAGTGAGAAACCCTGTTGCCAAAAACAAAGTGGATGGCACCTGAGGAGTGATAATGGAAGTTGTTCTTTGGCATACACTCACATGAATGTGTACCTGCAAGCACATGTACATTTGTACATAGAAACTAACACACACATGCACACACACACACTCACAGGCACACAGACACACACACATTCATACTCATTTCTCTGGGAACTCTGGCATAATGTTTATCACCTGTTATAACATTCCATACACACACACTCACAGTCTCTCACACACACATTCATACACACACACACACACACACACACACACACACACACACACACCAAAAGAAAGAGCTCAGGGGATTAAGGAGCATGTCTGATTTCCCACTCTATCCTGCCTCTGCACTGGGCTCAGTGCTTGATGTCCTGGTTCTTAAAGACATTGACAGTGACTTCTTGTGTACTGTATCTTTCAGTTGCCCAAGGACTAGATTAGTTGATGCATTCCAGAGAACTCTGTAGATATCAAGCAGTCCATGCCACCTGGTACCCTGCAGTTTCCCTCTAAGTCCTCTCTTCTTTTGGGAGGTAACAAGTGAAGAGTTTCTCCCATTTTCCCATTACCTCTATGTGAAGCCATGTCACTGAGTACACATGTAAGCATTCTCTTGTTATTTTTTATTGTGCTAAAATAGGCATACCATAAACCTTATCATTTTAACCACTTTGGGTGTGGGTTCTGAACTATTATACATTGTGTAACCACCAGCATCTGCTTCTGGGTCCTTTTCAGTTTCCAGACTCTGTCCCAGTTAAACAGTCATTTCCTGTTCTCCCTTCCTCCACCCCAGTCCACTTTCCATCTCTATGAACTAAGTACTCCAGGGACCTCACAGCAGTGGAAACACATAGTGTCTCCGTTCCACGATGGGGGCTTTCATCTAGCACACGTTTTCAAGGTTCATCTGTATTGGATCATGTGCCAGAGTCTTTTAAGGAATGAATAATGTTGCATTTTATACATGGCGTGTATGTATGGCCACTCACTGGCCAACCAGTATGTGGGGTATACTGGTTGGCCAGTGAGCCTGGGGGACCACCGGTCTCTGTCTCCCTAGCACTGGACTACAAGCACATTGTCTGTATGTTCCATTTTGTTTGTCTATTTATTCATCACTTGATTTCTTTTTTAAATCTCACGGCTGTTGTGTGTAATGCTGCTATGATTATGGCAAAAAAATCATCTTTCTTCAACTCTCTCTCTCTGTGTCTCTGTCTCTCTCTGTGTGTATACTGTACCTATTGTATGTGTGAGCATGTATAATGGATATGTCTACATGTGCATATGTGGGTGTGTGCACTTGCCTGTGGAGTTTAGACGTTGATGTCAGGAGTCCTCTTGGTCTACTCTCCGCCTTATGGTTTGAGACAGGGCTCTCACTGAGCCCAGAGCTCACAGATTGGCTAGACTGCCTGGCCAACGGCTCCAGGGATTCATTCACCTGTCTCCCTGCTCCCTGCACTAGGGTTACAGCAGCGTGTGACCATGTCCAGCTTTTAAATGGGTGCTGGAGATCTGAATTCAAAGTCCTTCAGCTCACATGGCAGGCACCTTAGCTCCCAAGGCATCTCCCCAGCTCCTTTTCTTTTGAGTCTATACCTGAGGGTATAAAGTCCAGGCCGACTTTCATTCATAATTGGACTTCAGCAACTCTTTCTGGGCCTTTCTCATATACCTGTCCTGTGTCCATCTCTAGGCACCCCATGAGTGGCTCATGTTGTCAAGCCTGAGCTGCTTCATTTGTGAAACACTTGCGGGCATGTGACCCACGTTTCTGCCCTCCCACAGGACCTTAGATAGAGCCTTCCACCCACAGTGCAGAACTAACACAGAGGGCGTGCTGCTGTTGGAGTCCCACCCCTGCTCTCAGTCTTCTCCCCTAGCCTTCCAACTCCAGCTATAATCTCACATTCTAGCTGTTTTCCAGGAAGAAAATGGCACATAGAGGTCAAAAGCTCTATTTTCCCTCATGCGAGCTTCCTATCTGCAGGTGAAGGTCCCCTTTTAAGTAGACTGTCTCCCCTGCATTGGCCATGGTCTCTTCTTGTCTGTGTGGATTCCCTGGTGGAAATAAAAGAGCTGGGGTATGTGCAGAGCAGGGTAGGGGACAGTGAGCGAGGAGAGGCCTGAGAGTAGCCATTGACCCATCCCTGGCAGGTACTTGCAGCCCTGAAGGGATTCTCTGTGTTCTGGAGAATGGATTTTGCGAATTGGAAAGATGCCAGGGGGTGGGGGCGTCAACCAACCCCACTGGGTTAGCAGCATTGGGGACTGTTTTATACAGTCTAAAGAATCATCTATGGTAGACATGCTTTTGATTTTGAAAGAGTTTATTATCTCTACAGTAGGTGAAAGTAAAGGAATAAGCAGCAAGTAGCAGATAGATGGAAGTGGTGGACAGATAGCAAAACATCTTCAAATCAGGCGCTCAAAAAAAAAATGCAGCAAAGATGACTGGAGCAGCCCAGCTGAGGGAGTCAAGAAAAGGTGACACTAAATCAAGGGCCTATAAACACCCAGCAGAAACTGACCGGGGGCACCTTATTAGAATTAGCTAGAGTTCCTGATAGTATCTCCCCTCTGGTGAGGTTTTTTAGTAAAAGAACAAATAGTGTAGAAAGGTGACAATGTCTAGTTGGGCACTTACAGTTATTCAGCAGAAGTGACTGGGGAAGCCCTGCTATAACAGTCATGACTAAGTTCCCAGACTGAGAGTTCCAGGCAGAGCTGAGCTTTCTCTCTGTAGATGAGATTCCATTTTCTTACCATGGGATTAACAGTCGCAACCTCCTTGGAAGGAGTTCACCTTCTAGCTGTCCTCAAAGGCACAGTGTTTTTACTCTTGGGCTGTCTTGTTACTATCTTTCCTCCCTGTCACAGTTTAGTAGGGGCAGCCTGCCCCAGGAAAAGGGATCTGGAGGACATTTGAGAACAAACATGCTAGAGTCTGGGACAAGAAAGTTCTCCTCACTCCCAGAGTTCACTTTGAACAAGTTTAAACAGCATATGACAATTTTCCAGGATAATGTGCATTGCAGGAGTTGAGTGGAAGTCAAAAATGAATGAGTAGACTCTGGTGTAAAATTACCCCTGGTGTGGGAGGCCTGGTCTTTCCCCAATGAGATTTCTTAGTCTCAACACAGTGCTTACATGATGGAGGAGGGATCTGGCATCTGAGTATTCAGGTCTTCTTCACCCTCATTGGGTGACTCTATCCTTGGAAAAGAAGTGATGAGAAGCACAGGTCATGGGCTCTGGGCTTGTTCTGAACTGATTTTTTGTGGCCAATCCCCTTGATAGTGAGCAGATATCATAGGGACTGTCTGATTCCAAAGATTATTCTGTGAAAATTCTGTTGAAAGGCTGTGTGTATTTATATTTAATGATGATTGTTTTAAGTCATTGAAGAAGCTTCAGGACATAGCCTTCTGAGTAAATAATTCTACTTTATAGATTTGGGCAGAAGGTTCTTGCTGGAACTTCCCATTTGACTGTTTCATTGAATGACTATCTTCTGCCCTTTAGGGTCTGTATAATTAAATGCAGACCACGAAAATGGACAGACTTCTTGCTTGAGAGTTAATGTTCTAGTAGGAACATTATCTCAAAAATTCATAGTCCACTATACCAAAGAAATATGAATTCCTGTCCCTTTTGGTCCTATCTGTGCTTAAGAATATCTTTGCTAGGGGCTAAAGGATGTGGGCTCTATTTCTGGGCTAGGAGAATGCTGTTCCAGACTGAGCATGCCATCACTGGGGAGAGGTGGGCTTTTAGGGTCCACACATCCTGGTTACAGTGTGTTTCTCTCTTCTCAAAGAGTTGAATTTATATTTGCAGATTTGCTCATCATCCTCACTATATGGTCCTTGTTTGTTTGTTTGGAAAGGAAGCTGAAGCATGAAAGATTGCCTAGTCCTACCAGTTAGTATCCAAGTGCCAGTATCTCATGTAGCACCAGCTCCCACTGTAATTATATCCTTATCAATTTATGAGAATTAATTCAGTGTTTGTGAGGTATTCTAGAAAATTCTGTGGGTGAGAGAGCCTATAGGGACTTGGAGAATTTTAGTATCTGTGACTTTTTGGTCTACAGGACCATGCTATGGATACCATTTTTTTTTTCTCTGAGGGGGAACCTCTTTAGGGAATGCTCTTGTTGCCTACCACAGGACACTGACCTGACCATGTTGTATATTAGGGTGCCAAAGGGCATTCAAAGTAGCCAACTCATGGCAGCCTCCACTGCCCTTATGGTCCTGTGTAGACATCCACTGTCTCTTTGCATTGAGGTACGGTTGTCCACATGTTTTCTTCTAAGGACATTGGGAAGGAGCCCTGCTGGACACAAAATGACAGGAATGCCTGTGGTCATGTTCCTTGTTACTTGTTGGTGTTAGAGGGGCCTTTCTGAAACCAAACCCTCTCATCCTAACCCTTCTCTTCTCCCTCTCTGTTCACAGTGGGGCCTTTTCTGAAGTGGTTTTAGCTGAAGAAAAAGCAACTGGGAAACTCTTCGCAGTGAAGTGCATCCCGAAGAAGGCGCTGAAGGGCAAAGAGAGCAGCATCGAGAATGAGATCGCCGTTCTTAGGAAGTAAGTGCTGGAGAGCAGCCTCTCCTCCCCATCCTGTCTGAGCGTCCTCCGGAGCAAGGAGAAGGCCTGGCGCGAGGCTGGCTTCACAGGGGTCGGAGAGGTCACCAGCTACTAGCCCGCAGGAAGAAATGGGCCCAGCAGTTGACCACTGGTACTCATGTAGTGCTCTGAAAATGCTTTCCTATAGCTCCGGTGTCTTACAGTGTAGCAGTCGTTGGAGGGAGTCCTCTCCAAAGGGCACAGTTGTAGGCTGACTTGATTCACCAGAGCCGAGTGACACTGGTTGGTTCCAGAGGCCCAGTCTCTCCTATAAAGTAGAACTCAGACCATTCCCATAGTGTAGTGTGCTGAGAATTATAATAACTTTTGCCACTGGTATTGCTTTATTTTTTTTATAAGGATGTGAAGCTGGCAAGATAAAGCTCTTGTCCAAACCCCTATATGTATAGTTTATATGTGGCAGAACTCAGAATATCAATCCCTCTTGTGCTGTTTCTACATTTTGTGATTTCTTACCCCCTTTCTCTGCCACCCACAGCACTGGGCACCCCGGAGTTTCCAGAGAGCTTCACTTATTCATTGAATATCTTCCCTTCTCATGTATAATAGAACCAAATCAAAATCTCATCCCCTTCAGTACAAGGCCACACGCAAGCCATTCTGATGTTATCTGACCCCCCCCCCAACTTTCCCCCATACTCAGATGGTTTTCTACCTGATCACACTCCTTGTACTGGTAGGATTAAGTCTTTCCACCATATTTTTATGAAGTTTGAAGGAACAAACCTTATATGGCACCTGCTTTTGCATGTTTGGCATCCATCTGAAAAAATTTGAGTTGCTATTAATAAAAGATGTTCAGAATATCCTTGAAATTTTTGGGGTTTGGAATCAGTACATAGCAAGAAATCCAGTCCAGATAAACAAGTGGAATGGGAACAAGCCTTATCTAGGGACCCAAGAAACCACCCACCGTACATCCTTTCTGCATAATTTTTCACTTCATTCCTTCTGGGGCCTACAGTGACCCATGGAGCGTGCTTTGCCACCCAGCACCGCTGAGGTGGTCAGCACAGTCTGTCCTGTCCTGACCTTTGGGCAACTCAGAGAAGAACACAGACTTGGTATCAGTGTTCCAGAACAAAATAGTCTCCATGGCTTTTAGTGTGAGGATTTGTTTTCACTCATTTGTTGGGTTGGTTTCTATGCTCTTTGGGTTGTCTATTGGAATTAGAGAGTTCTAGGCTGTGCTGCAGAGGATTGTAGGAAATGGTTCTGTAGAGGAGAGTCTGGGAAAGCAAAATATTTGCATCAGACAGGAAAATACTGTGTTAATGAAACATTTATTGAAATGTCCTATTTTCCCATATGAAATCAGTGTTTGAGGAAGAGGTTAGTCACTGGTGATATGAAGATGTAGATGTGTTACAGACAGTTGACATTTCAGATGGAATTCTCTTTCTAAAGGTTCCACTTTGGACCTAGAGGTTGTCTGGGCTTAGAAATAAAAGAGCCTGGGAATCCATATGCAGTGTTGGAGATCTTTTCCATCCATATGGGCGGTAGGTACAGGTGCAGGCTTTATAAGCTTGTCTTGGTTCATGCCATGAATATTTTGACTTAATCAGTATCTCCACCCAGTGCCTCAGTAGTAATTACATCTCTAGACAGGGTATTTAAAACCTGGGAGGACCATGGATTTGGAATGATTTGTTTTGATAGCTTCTCACTATCAGTTGCTGGGAAGCCTAGAGGCATGGACTCTTCTCTAGGGAGTAAAGAACAAAGGAATGATTTCTCAGGAGATAAAAGTCGGGTTATCTACTATGCTAGTTTATTTTGTTAATCTTTTGCAAATGATTTACAAGCAGGCTAAGAGGAACTCCGCATCACAAACAGCTGAAAGAAAATTATATAGACTTCAAAGAAAATAGTTTGGCACCATGTTTAGAATGCTGCCATGGTGATATTCATTCATTGAAGAAATGTTTATCAAGTTCCCAGCATGCACCATATCTTAGTTTGGGTTTCTATTGCTATGATGAAACACTGGACCAAAAGCAAGTTGAAGAGGAAAGGGTTACTTTGGCTTACACTTCCAAATTGTAGTCCATCATTGAAGGAAGCCAGGAACTCAAGCAGGGCAGGAACCTGGAGGCAGGAGCTGATGCAGAGGCCATGGGGGCTGGAGTGGGGGGTGCTGCTTACTGACTTAGTCCCCATGGCTTGCTCATCCTGCTTTTTTTTTTTTTTTTAGAACCCAGAAACACCAGCCCAGGGATAGCACCACCCACAATGTGTTGAGCCTACTTTCATCAATCATTAATTAAGAAAATGCCCTATAGCCAGATACTGTGGAGGCATTTTTGCAGTTGAGATTCTCTTCTTTCAGATAACCCTAGCTTGTGTCAAGTTGACATAAAACTAGCACACACGAAGAGGCAGCACTACTGGACATGGAGTTCTTGACATCTGAGATCTAGATTTTGCTACTCACCAACAGGATAAAGTTATAGATGATTTGATAACAGCATGTCCAGGGGACCCAGGGATGGGCTTGAGGACAGGTTGCATGGCTGAGGGGCAGCCACATAAGTATATTTTTCCAGAAAGGCAGATAGACATTCCAATCAGAAGGAGCAACTCAAACAGAAGCTAGGAGACACGGGCTGGATATGTAGTCCAGTGGTAGGTTGCTACACAGGCCCTGGGTTTGATTCCTAACACTATAGAAAGAAACAAAGAGAAAGAAAAGTTGAGAGAGAGAGAGAGAGAGAGAGAGAGAGAGAGAGAGAGAGAGAGAGAAATGGTGTAGGAAGAAGTTAGGAGACGGGAGCCAGGGGATTATTCTGGGGGAACTGGCTCCTTTGATGGGGGCAGAGGGTTTGAGGTGAGGCAAATGGAGACCCACGTTTGGGAAAAGATAGGGTGGGGGGACATGCTCTAAACTCCGCTTTGGATTTTGGGCTCAGGCAGTAGATATGAGGAGAGATCGGGTTATCATGAGAGAAGCTAGATGATGATTTATAAGTGTCCTGTGGCAGAACTTGAAAGGACTGATTGGACAGAGCAGGAGCATGGAGTGAGAACACATAAGAGGTCATGAGGTGAGTCATGTAGAGAAATGAAGGAACGTGTTAAAACGGGCTATGGGCTGTACAGAAGACATGGATATGAAGATGCTAATACAGGAGGTCAGGATTTGGAAGAGGCAGAGAGGTGTTGAAGGACAGATAGGAGCTGATGATAATGCTGTGATTTCTGACAGGGGTAACTGGGTGACTGATCATCTCATTAACTGAGATGAATGATCTATGAGCAGGAAGGTAAGGATGAGTTCTGACTTGGGCATGGTGGATTTGGAGGTCTTGGGGCTATCCAAGTATAGATGACCGATTGACTTTCCAGGGCTGGAACTCATCATAGTCTAGGCTTTTGTAGAGACTAAACATTTCTGAAACACATACTAAAATAAATCTTGGGGAAGGGTCTGGAGAGATGGGTTAGTGGTTGCAAGCACTGGCTGCTTTTCCAGAGGCAATTCCCACCCTTCACGTGGTGACTCACAATCCTGTGTAACTTCAGTTCCAAGAGGATCCAATGCCCTCTTCTGGTCTCTGCAGGTACGAGGCAGGCGAGTGGTATGCATACATACATGTAGGTAGAATACCTATACACATAAAATAAAGCAATGAAACAATTAAATATTGGATAATCAATTGATGTGCTCTTCCCTGGGGAAGACTTTTTCTCAGCTCTCAGCAATCCCAAGTTGCCAGTAGTTCTTTGTGTGGGGATGATGCCTCCTGGGCTTTCTGCTGTCCTCATTAGGAGGTCCATTGTTATTCTTGTTCCGCTCATGTTTAGGCAATTATGTTGTGAGACTTGATGGGTGTAGCTTCTGATGTTTCTAGGAGACACACTCTCACAGCAAACTCCCTGATCCTCTGGTTCCTACAACCTTTCCACCCCCTCTTAGCAGTGTTTCCTGAGCCTTTAGGTACCAGAGTTGTATTATAGACATACCCGTTGGGACTGGGCTCCACAATTCTGCATTTTGATTGTTTGTGGTTTTCTTTCCTTCTTTCTTTCCTTCCTTCCTTCTTTCTTTCTTTCCTCCCTCTCTTTCCTTCTCTTTTTTGCTTTTTTTGTTTTGTTTTGTTTTGTTTGAGACAAGTTTTCTCTGTGTAGTTTTGGTGCCTGTACTGGATCTCGCTCTGTAGACCAGGCTGGCCTCGAACTCACAGAGATTTCTATCTGGCTCTGCCTCTGGAATTAAAGGCGTGTGCCTCTGCCGCCCAGCGATTGTGGTTTTCTATAATGGTCTCTGTCTGTTGCAAAGAGAAGTTTTCTTGATGAGGGGTGAAGACTGCACTTGTCTGGGTGTAAGGACAAACACTTAGAATGTAGTTAGGGATTATGCTGGTTTAGAATAGTGGTGGTGGTAGGTTCTCCTCCCAGTCCATGAGTTCACCAGCTCTGGCTAGTTGGCTAGGTGTCTGGTATCAGACATCATTTCCTTTTTGTTTGAGTGAGCTTTCAGACCATTTAGAGACCTGTTGGTTACCACCGAGGTATGCATGCCACCACTATACCCTTCCTTCGGTTTATTGTGCCATGCTGGTCGTTGTTGTGGTTCATAGGCATCATAGGTTTCAAACCTGGGTAGAACTCTTGGTTGCTTTCCTGAAAACACACATACAAGTAACTTTCTAGAGATCGAACAGGTTGTACTTATATATTTAGGAGTGTGTTTGTGTGTGTGTGTGTGTGTGTGTGTGTGTGTGTGTGTGTATCAATAGTTAAAGGGAAAAAAGGCTATGAATTTGAAAAAGAGCAAGGAGGGGTATAAGGGAAGGTTTGACGGGAGGAAAGGGAAGAAGAAAATGATGTAATTACATTATAATCACAAAAAATAAAGGAAATTAAAAAAATTGTTTCAGCAAAAACTAAAATAAGATAAATCCTGGCACAATTTAACTAGTCATTATAGGTAGGGT